GTTCAAGAAATCTACCATATGATGTGGCCTAAATAAGATAAGGGAGGGGAGTTTAGCTTATTTGGGCCTCAGTGTGGCCTAAATAAGGTAAGGGAGGGGGGTTTAGCTTATTTAGGCCACAGTGTGGCCTAAATAAGGTCACCCAAATTGAAAATACAGTGGAAAGCAGCGTGTGGCTGCAAAATGGGTTCTATGTTCTTGTAGGAAGAACACCTGTGTATATGTTACATCAGTTGGGCTGGGGGTTGAAAAACTTTCAATTGGCTCACCTTGAAATCTTGTAGGAGAATGCGCAAGAAATTGTAGATTTCTATTTAATTAAATTAATTTCAAGCATCATCAAGCTCTGTCTTTCTCCTTTCAGTTGAAAGGATGCATATAATTAAACGTGCTTTATGTATGCATGAACCTGAGGATGGCTGACTGTGCCTTCAAGTGAACTGTGCTTTTGTTTTTCAATCTTGTTGAGTATGAGTAAAATCTATCTCTATGATGCTGCTTTCTGGTGATTTTAGCTTTGTTAAAACTTGGTAACATATTACATGCAACAGCCTCTTGGTAAAAGATTGAATAATAGGAAAATGATAGCAAATCCAATTTGTGTTTTGTGGAGAATGAATTGTATGGATATATCTGTCATGTATTTTTACATTGTAGCTTGGAAAGTTCTGTCATAATAAAATGAAGTGATTGTTTTCCCATTTCTTCACAACCTCTGGTGCAGAAAGTTCACTATATGAAACTCGCGTGGCAGTGCAATTTTGACTTTGTGATTATTGTGTACCGGTTATTCATTTTCAATTTCATTATGATATCTATCAGGTGTATTTATCTCAATAGATTTTACCTTTTTCTGTACGGATATACAGACATTGTACTCTGGTATGTTGTATAGTTCAAGAGTTGTCTCATTTTGCTGTCAGTGGTTTACCATCATGAAAAAATTCAAATGTAGCAAAATGTTTGGGCCGTCCTTCGACTCTGTTATACATGTATACGAAGTCATTTACGTGGGTATACCTCCTTCTATTGATATTCTCTTATGTACATGCATCTTGATAAATCTTTGATAAATGTTTTGATAATACATTTCCCATTCCTGTCATCATCTGTGGAGTTCTGGTACACTGTTTAGAGTTGAAATGTAGCCTTTCAAGTTTTGTTGTTTTTCATTTGATTAAAAAAACAAACTTTTAAATTAAATTAAGGGTCTCTCATTAACTAGAGTTGAACACCTTACTAGACACAGAAATAGTCATCAGGAATGTGGAGTGTATTCCTCTCCTAACCAGTACATGTAGTGGTTTAAGAGTGGGGATGTATTTTTCAAGAAGATCAAGACTTGTCTTTTACCAGTGTCGGTACTTACCCAGAACTTCTGCTTCTTGGACAATGTATATGTCTGACCTACAGACTGTACCTGGTGCTTCTGATGAAAATTCATTTATGTCTGAATAAAGCGATACACATCAACAGGACAAAAGCCATTTAGTTCAGGGGAAAAGTAAGACAGATAGTAGATAGACAGAATATACGGGAATCAAAAGAAGTAGGCATACTATTTGCACCCTTCCTCCAACCACAAGTTCATTAAGTTCAATTTGGTTTAGTTTAAATGGGGTCATGTAGATCTTTGACAGCAAGGAGAAAAAAGTCAAAGATATTTTTACAACACTGGTGTATGTTTTCGCAAGTATTTAAAAGAGTTTGTATAATAGCAACATTTAAAATGATCACATTTATTCAACCCAGTCTTAAGAAGAAACAAGTTTTTGCTTTGTGAATCGCAACAGGATGGAGGGGCTCAGTAGCTCAACAGGTATGATGTTCGCCTGTCAGCCCAGAGGTCCAGAGTTCAATCCCTGCTTGCAATAGGGTTTTTTTTTTTCAATTTCATTCTTAATCCTTTGATCCTAGGGTAGGTAAGATTGAGCATCTAGTCTTCTTCGGTAACAACAAATTTTGGAGGTCTTGTGGAAGTTCCAAAGTGACCAAAGTTCCACATGTTGAAGATCCTTTAGCGATT